AATGCCCAGGGTGACCAGCGGTGGGGTGATCATGACAACATTCCAAAATAAGGTGCCGGCCAGCAGGGTGGATGTAGGCGCGGTCTTTATAGTAAAGGATATCATCTTTAATTGTCCAGTCTGCAAGAGTGGATTTCATGGGGGGAAGAGAAAGACCATCTAAGGTGTCAGAGGTGGCTTTGAAGATGGGGTCGGGGTCGGAGGGATCAGGGTTTGCGAGAGAGGTCATGAGTTCAAGGTCAAGGAGGCGGACAAACATGGAGTCGGGGAGAAGGGTCTCATTGGAGTTGTCTTTAGAGGAATCTACTCCATGGTCGGGGCGGCGGGAGAGTGCATCAGGGGTGACAAGTTTGGTACCAGCAACATGGTGGAGTTCAATATCATAGCAGGATAAAATCAACTGCCATTGGGCCTGTCTCTGGGTTAACTTCTGGGCAGTTCTGAAATACAACAGATTTTTGTGGTCTGTAAAAATGATGACAGGATGAAGGTTGCCTTCCAAATAATGACGCCATTCAGTCAGAGTGCGGATGACGGCGAGGAGTTTGCGATCAAAAATCTGGTAATTGCATTCTGTGGGGTTCAATGTCTGTGATAGATATCCACATGGATGATAAACACCATTCTCATTGGTTTGCAGCAATACTGCACCAGTAGCAACGAGTGATGCATCAGTAGCTACTGCGAATTGTCTTCTTGGATCTGGGTTTCAGAGGACTGGTTGCTTTAGGAAGCATTCTTTTAGAGTGGAGAAGGCTAATGCGCATTGTTCTGACCAAAGGAATTGGATGTCTTTCTTGGTGAGGTCGATCAGGGGTCTGGCAATGTTGGAATAGTGGGAAATGAAGTTTCGATAAAAGTTGCAGAATCCCAAAAATGACCAAACTTCTTTTACCATTGTTGGGGTGGGCCAATCGCGAATACCGTCAGTTTTGGCAACATCCATAGCCACACACCCAGGATGGATGATCATTCCCAGATATTCTACCTCTTGAGCGTCGAACATGCACTTCTCTGGCTTTAGGAATAGCTTTTCTTTACAAATTCTTTCAAGGACATGCCAGGTTCATTCGTGATGAGAGGTGAGGTTGTTGGAGAAGATCAAAATATCATCCATGTATATGATGAGCCATCCTTCATTGATCTCTTGTTGGAATGTCCGGTTCATATATGCTTGGAAGGTAGCAGGAGAATTACAGAGACTGAAAAACATGACATTGGGCTCGAAGAGACCATATTCTGTGGTAAAAGTGGCCTTCCATCTATTGTCAGGGTGGATTCGAATGTTGTTATACCCAGAATGGACATCCATCTTTGTGAAGTATTTTGCACCATGCAGCCGAGCGACCAATGACAGTGGTAATGGGAGAGGGTAGGCGTTCTTAACTGTCCATTCATTGATATATCGGTAGTCTTGACAGGGACAAAGGTCTCTGCTTTTCTTTCCTACAAAGAAGAAACCGCTTGCTTGCGGCGACTTTGATTCTGAGATAAAACCTTTCTTTACATTTTCATCAAGAAAAGCTTTGACCATGGTACACTCTACTTCCGATAACGGGTACACCTTGGATGTTTTGGGGATAAAGCTGGGTTTGGTTTCGATATGATGGTCTATGCCAGGTTGCTCAGGTGGTAACTGATTAAGGCTGTCCTTTGCAAAGATGTCGGCAAAATCGTGGAGGTAGGAGGGGACAAGTTCTTTGAATGATTTTTTCTTCTGCTCAAGTCCCGCCGCTAACGCAAACTGCTGTGCCTTATTACTGGTTTTGATGTATTCCAATTCCATCGGCCATGACAGTGGTGTAACCCTGGATCGTTGTTCCACAACACTGGTACCATCTTTAGTTAATGGAGTGTCCAGTGAGGTGTTGGTGATAATCCGAAGCTCGGAAGCATCAGTGGGATACTCAACCAAAAATTCATCATCCTCAAGGTGGTACATCGCGATTTCGCATACGGATGGTGCATATTCTGTGGTCCATACATCATCCTTAGTGTCAAAGGAATCGTCGTCATCATCGGGGATGGGTTCAAGGTTAGGGAGTACAGGGGGTACTTCTTCATCTGGGACCTCTTCTATGGTAGCCCAGGGTGCTGGTTCCTTAGGTGATGTGGTTGTGAACATTTTCGCAGGAGGTGCCTTCAGCAGCACTACAACTGGAGTTGGTTCTGATCTCGAGCCTCCTCTCTTGAAGAGAGGTGGAAGATTATTCTTCTTTCGTTTGGTGTCGACTTCTTCTTCAATTTGATTGCTCTTCTCAGTTCTAGAGAGTTCTAGTGTTTCCGCTTTCCATCAGATTACTGGGTCCATGGCACGTAGCCAGGGGATCCTGAGTAGGATCTGATCACGCCAGCCAAGCTGCATGATATTAAATTTTCCAATCATGGATCGTTCATCAATCTTGACGATGAGGACACAATACCAAGTGATAGCGCCCCCCTTTGCGTAACTTCCATCTGCAGTAGTAACCTGGAATGGTTTCATGAGTTTGTGTGTTCGTATTCCATGGGTTTTGACAAAGTCTTCAGAGATAAAGGTTCTGGCAGCGCTGGAGTCAACAACAGCCATTGTTTCGACGGTTTTCAGACGAGTTTTGGAGATGAGTGAAATGGGAACTTGAAGCTCCTTTCTGATTCCAATACTTCGTACAAGTCTGATAGGTACATCGGAAGATACTGACGTTAATCCAGTCTTCCACATCAAAAATCCTTGGCAAGGCAATGGACTGTTGTTTCTTCACCCTCTTCATCATCTTCTATTTCTTCACGACAGACTGGGGTTTTCTTCTGTGGGCATGCTCTGGTCATGTGCCCCTTCTGGTGACACGTGAAGCATAATCCTTTCTTCATATGATCACTTCTTTCGGCTTCGGTCAACCGGTCTACCTCCATAGCATTCGGATCATGCCGGTCAACAGACGGTCTAGGCATGTATCGCCGTCCCATTGGTTTGGTAATAGTGCAGTGGTTATGCTGAAATACGGCTCCTCTTTGCCAGTTGCTATTGAGTCTAATAGCTGCGGCGACATACTTGTCAAAATCTGTGGGAATGGTTTCCATCTGGAAAATGGAGTTGACAATCCCCTTCTTCAATCCATCATTGAAAAACATGATTAAAACAGCATCTTGCTTTACAGAGGCTTGGGCAGCAAGGGTTTTGAAACTAGCAACATAGGAAGTGAGGTCGTTCGTTTGTTTCAAAATTTGGAGTTTATTCATGGCTGTTCTGATGGCATCAGCCAGTACGAAAGCTTCTTTGAATTTGGTTTCGAAATTCACAAAAGTTCCATAAGACTTGGAGGCGGAGTTATTGACTTCAGTGTAAAAGGTAAGTGCCCAACCCATGGCACTATCTTCAGTCATGTATGCAAGGGCGGTGATGACTTTCTTCTCGTCAGTGTTATAGATTGTAGCGTTAAGCGCAAAGTACACTTTAACCGCATACAACCATTGCAAAGCCTGCTGAGGGCTCCCATCATAGGTAGAGGGGGCTCTGGCTTTAAGTTCTGGGGTGTTGGTGGTGGTGGACATCCTGATCGTTCTGGTCTAGTGATGTTTCTGTTTTTGCAGGGGATGTCTGGTCTCTCTCTGCCCTAGTTCTGTTTTCAAGGGTCTAGGACCTCTTCAATGGAGAGAGTCATTAGATGACTTTAATCTTTTGTTATAGACTAGGATAGTCATAACAACAGTAGCTCAATAAGAGCGGCAACTGAAGTTATATCAAGACCTTGCAAATGCAAGGGTCATAAGACAGGCCAAAGAGAGTGTCTATGGCTTGAATATCGGTCAATACAACTTAGGATTGGAGGTCCTAAGCAAGAGATGTTTCTGGTGAAAACCTAGTAGATTAAAGTGAAGATCTACTGAGTACATGACCAAGTATATATAGTAAGTAAGTGCTTTAGGGCAAGCACAATGAGTCAGAGATAAGGACGAGTCAGAGATAAGGATGAGTCAGAGATAAGGGTGAGTCATCTAATGACAGCGATAGCAATCATGATGTAATACAGTGAAGGAGGAGATGAGTCATCTAACGACAGCAATAGCGATCACGATGTAATACAAGTAAGCAGGAAAATGAATAGGGGGCAAGTGTAACTGTAACAGTTGCTTGTGTCAGCAGAGAGGGTTTTCATGATGATGAATGTTGAGAAAGTTCAACATTTGGCTTTGTTTATATCATGGTGACCCTTTTACATGTCACATGACATTATAGGACATACTAAATAACATAACTGATGTCTATTGATAGGATTTTGATATTTAAAAATATCAGCAACAAAACCATTGCAATGCATACCATGTAGTAAATTGCTTATATCCTTTTAAGGATATGTTTTCACATCTCCAATGTAGTACACCTATTGTAGCCTGGATATAGGGCTACAATATTGCTCTCATTCACATTTTCATAGCTGCCATCCCTGTGATGATATAGCCAAAGTAATCAATCTCACACAAACATTGCAATGGTTTTGTTGCTTACTGTATTATCCAAAAGGCTGAACAATGGAGAGTCCAAATAATCCAAGGAAAGAAGGCACATATCTTGGAGTTTATTTGACTCTGACACAGAATGACCTGAATGCTAACTTAGCATGCAGCCAACTGCTACCAGTATGTGCCACTATTGCTGCCACATTGACCCTACAAGGACTCCATTGTGCAGGTAGTTCTTTCCTCATTCGATTCTTAGGTCTGTACAGTCAGTGATCAAGAACAAGTCTGGCTTCTTGGCAATAAAGAAAAATCTTTACAAAGGTAACTAAAGAATGTTACCACAGACAACCTGCAAGAATATTTGGGGGATACTTTATTGCAGCTTAACATGCAAGCAGAACTGTTTTCATCCCTACTGTAGAGCTACAACACTAGGTTCATCACAGGTCACAGCCCTTGATGAATCGAATCTATTTGGTGTGACCATCACATGAATTTTGGCGGGATGAAGCTAATTTGTGACATTCGGAAAAAAACATAGGAAAAACATAGGTTGTGCACTAATGGGACCAAAAATCATTATACATCGAATTTGTGATGCATCTACACTTTCCACACCCATAATCAACCTTCAGAACACTGTTCAAGCTACCTTCCACATCTTCAGCAGCAATGTCACCCACATCATAGATTTCAGAGTGGTTTGCACATGAAAGTCCACCATCTGCATTGATATGGCAGTCAGAATGGACCTGTTCACCCCCAGAAGCCATATGGTCAAGAAGTGCATCCATTGGCATGTCACTGGCATCAAGATCATGCTTGCTGGCATCATTGAACAGGGATTTGACTCCAATAGCATTAGTACTAGCCTCATCCTCTGACTCAGAATTTGTTGCCTGTTCGACACCATCAGTCTTGTACTGAGCAGTAGCAATCCTCGCCCATCCAGCTGGATCATTCTTCTGAACATCACATAAATATTGCAATGCCTCCCAACTTGTGAGACTCACAAATGAGAGATTGAACTTCTTCCCAGCCTTACACATGAAGAATGCCTTCAAAATAGGATTTAGTTCCATGCATCAAGATTCAACAATGTGAGTAAATGAGAAACAAACCTGCTTTATGAGCTCAGGCTTGTTTATAGCATGATACCCATTTACAACCCACTGCAATGACCAATCATGAAGGGTGCTGATTGTCATGTCAAGTTGGATGAGTGATGCAAAACTGTCATGGGTGAGTCAAGTGAGAGACTCGTTGACTATATCAGCATGCTGCGTCTGTTTGACAGCGAGTTTGAATGGACATTGAATACCAACATCACATGGCTGACCAACACCAGTGCAGCCCCCAGGGATGAAGCAGTATTTGATCCAAGGGTAGGTCATATCCAACCACATGCAAAATTGAATTGATCTGTGCATGCTCCACACATCAAGGTGCAAAACACACTCCTGGTCAGCCAGTGCATCAAGTAACACTTTCTGCTCTTCCCAGTAAGGCACCAGAATGTCATTAACATACTTGCACATGAGGGGAAATGTTGACCAGTAGGTGTGCGTGCTTGAGTATGAGATTTTGAACTTGAGTTCCATTGCTTCCTTATATTGTGGAGTTGACTTTGAAGGAAGGGAGCAAGAAGTTTTCCCCTCATAGATCAATTGCAAGGGGAGGGCATGACCTCTGGCCAATATTCCATTGACAATGGTAAAAGCTTGTTTTTCTTCCTGCCCAATTACAGAGACTTGCTTTGAGCCAGTTGTTTCGAAAGTTGAGGTGTTTGATGGTTGATAGATGATATTTGTTTGGTCAATATTGACAATGAATGCAGCATTGAAGATTGCGCAGTCATGAATTGTGAGTGACAGATGGAGGAACTGGTCGAGGAGAATCTGATCAACATTGGGTGGTGTTTTTTGTGTGGCATGTGTTGCCCTGTGGAAGCTCCAACTGAGGTGTTCATAAAGAAACTCCTTCACCCAATTCTCAGTACAGCGGAAGCGAGAACCATCCTTGGCAACAGGCTCAAAAATTTCGGGAATGGAGCATTGCAGGTGTGCAAGGATGATACCATGGCAGTGGAGAGTGTCCAATGCAACACCAACTTGACAGAGAGACTGAAGGTCATTCATGATCAATTTGACCACATTGGGATAGGAGGATAGAATGTGTTTCCATGTGTTTTGGTACATGGGTAGGCTGCATCGTTGAACACGAGCAAGAGTCGCTGCACTCCAAACAGCTTTGTCACCTGAGTGGTCAATCCACATTCCAACTACCTGTGGAGTCATGTCTGGAATTGTGTTAAGTCCCTCTGCTGAAGATCCTGCACAATCTCTATGGGAGATATGCCAATCCCTACTTGAACAGCAGCTTCAGCAATAGTAGCCCATAACAAGGGGTTTTGCCAGTTGACATGAACCACAAGAGTTTCTTCATGCTTCTGTTTGTGTCCTTCATGTGCCCTTGCATCTCTTTGAATCTCACAGTATGGGCGAGACACTTCTGCAAACCATCATTAGCACTATGTGAGGCGAATCCTGAAGCAAGTTGTCACAATCACGAAGCAGCGGCATGTCATATGGTTGCAAGCGGCAAAGCATCCGCAGGCAAATCTATTTGGGTGTGGTCACAGGTCACATGGACATTCGAACCAGTGACACTGAGTATGACATAATCACATGCTGCATGTGACGAACCTAGTGTCGTAGCTCTACAGTATTTTGCGCTCAGTACATATTTTGAAAAAGAGTTTCATCGCTGACATACCCGAACCCCTCATTTGCGTCACAACCCTTTCCCAGGTGATGGAGAACAACAGTACTGAGTCGACGTGGTACCGTCACTCAAGACGCAACTTTTGGAGTACGTAATAACCGCGTCCGGGCACGGGAAACCCCCGCACAGCCCCAAAACACATGCTTCAGCGTCAGTGGTCTCAGAGTCGAGCATGACTCGTGCACTAAGAGGACCAACAGCCATAAATGCCAGGAGAATAATCGCCAAGAGAGTCATCTAGACCCTCATCAGTAGGATCTATAGGTTGGAAAGATGAGCCTTACAGTCGAAAAGTGCGAGATCTTTAAGCTGAGTGCGGGTTTGTTATTTTGTTGGTTGTTCGTCAGTTCTGTGCTCATGCATTTTATAGCTGCTGCTACTGATTAAAATATTAATTTAATCCCCAAGTTCGAAGACAGCAATCACGCTAAGCAGTCTCCCTCAGGCAGATTTAATAGAAGCAAGACAGTCATTTCATATAAATTATTCCACATGTGGGATCTCTTGATCTCAACATATTTACACAAGAGTTGAGGCTAAATCAAGAGCCAGCCGAGTGTCAGTAAGTCTTGATGGAATGATAAACATATACACCCTGACGTCCCTACATTTTCGGGGACGAATGCCGCAGTGTAACTACCTGCAGCCGGTCACCATCTTTTGGAGATTAGAGAACAGTGGCAGCAGAATTTTGATCCCAGCGATCGTCGCACCCCTCGTTCAATCAGCGCGGCCTACTAGTACTTCCTCCCGTTGCCTTTGAGCCAAACTTTCTGCAATGAGTCAAATTGCTGTAATGCATGTCCTGAAGCCAACGGTGGGTGTTTTTATAATTGTATCTATTACTCGCTATGGTGTATCAATCAATAGTTTGCTTGATAAATTATTTTTTATCTTATTCGTGCGTTGAGTAGCCTTAGTGCGACTATGACACCCACAGCAGCCAAAGAAATCTTTGTGTTTTATACCAACGTTCCCCAAGTTATCCAAGTCGGCGAGGAATGCTGCAAAAAGAGGTTCAGAACACATAGCCTCAACGAATGTATCACTGGCATGGACAACCAAATCGGATGGTGCATCCCATATAGGCCTATATTCTTTCCCATAGATAGAAACAGACATTCTCCCCTCACGCCGACTTCAGAGAATGGCCACACAAGATCCATGATTTGATAGCTCAGCGTTCTGACACTGCACTTATGGCGTGATGTATATTCAACATATGGGGATATTGATGCATAAAACTACACAGCAGGTATAAATGGAAGTGACCTGTAACTCTAGCAGCCCCAGGTCTCCCTTCTCCATGCGCCAATCCACGCCATGACAAAATACAAACACCCTGCAGGTAATATGCAGACCTTTGCAACGATACCCCAATCCCACCGGCGCCCAACCAATTTGCGTGTCTCCTCGCTCTTAAGTTTCACATGGGGCCGTAGACGATCAGGGACTGCCGATGCGCGAGTGCTTGTATCTGATGGGAGAAGGTTGCTTGTCACCCATATTTGAATGCTGCGAGAAATGCACGTCGTCGTCCCTATAACAGCCCAGCATACATCCGGACGTATTGTGGTCCAACGCAGCAGTGTGCCATCCAAGATATTTAGTGTATAGGATGCGACATCGACATTAAAACCTAGTCCGCCAAGGATGTCAAGTGTAAAGTGGGTCGCAGGCCAACAAATGGCCTGCAAAGCGAGAAGGCGTATAAGCGTGGATAAAGGGGCGTAGTAGGCACGCCACCGGTGAAGGAGTCCGGTTGTTAACTGGAGGCATTGGTGCGCTGTCAGTAATGCCTGTAGATGAGAAATATCAACTGGGAGATTAACCATCCCAAAAAGCCAAAACCTTACCCAAAGCACAGCCAGGAGATAATCAGCTCTGTCCGGCAGGGCGATACGACCCCAACTATCATGCTCTTGATTTATTCGAGAGCATGATCCGGGAGCGAAGTGTTCTGAGTCCAGACCTGGAGGTTTCCACACACACCAGGCATTTATTAGCGCGCCTAATGAAGCAGGGACAACAGACAAGAGGCGCGATACATCGAAAAGTAGAGTTGTCAGAGTGCTTGGTGGAACTAATGGACCTGAGGCAGGTAGGATACGCGTCGTCGGAAGATGTCGCGGCTGCAAACACATGTCCAAGTAAGAAAGGTATGAGATATATACCGATAAATCCTCACAGGTTCGTCAGCCTCGGTTTCAGTTTCACCAGCACCTAATTGTCCTGGAGCAGTCGTTATCTGCTCTGACTTGGGCCTCCGCCAGCCAAGGCCCACGCTTAGGAATGCATGAAACCCACTCGCTCGCGAATCCTTCGCTGATCGTGTATTTGCGTGACGGTGTATGTCTTGACTGCTTCGAGTGCGTCTGGCAGCATATATAACATTGGTTGTATCTTCATCATCGTCTGCACTCAGTTCCTGGTTACGATTCTCGGAGAGCAAGTCGCGTTCCCGTGGACGATGGTGATTGCGCATAGAAGGTATCGATGCAGCAGAGACGACAGAACTTTGTGAAGATTTCTGTGGTGATGACGGCAGTGTAGACACTACAGAAGAACTTGTCTTGGAAGAGTGTGCGCCAGTGTCTGCGGGGGTAAGCAAGTCGCACGAACTTATGTATGGTAGTTTGCAGCACGATGTAGTTCGCGACGAAGATAAGGGCGAGGAAGACGAATGGGAATACGAAGATGAGTTTAGTCCAGGTGTGCCAGAAGCCGGTGTGAGCTTCAAGGTATGCGACCGTCGTCTTGAGCGAGCCTTGCTTATTGCGACACTCGACGTGGTCGATGCTAGCATCATCACGTTCAATGGTCAGCTCAAATGCTGCTGATAAGAAGTGAAACTCACAACAAAATCCAGGCTATATATGAATCACACTTCTTGACGTCGACGTTAACTTCAAGACAGATTTTGTTCCTGAGATTGCTATATTAGGTATGCTGTCGGCAAATGCCGTGTAAGTTCAGCGAGCGCTTATATCTACTCTCTCGCGTCAATGTCTTGAGACTCAGCTATTATGCTGTGGTCCCCTGGACCCGCTCTTCTGCAGCTTTCTGTAACTGTCGCGTGTGAGATTCAGAAGAGCTGGAAGACTAACACAGAGAACCGAAACAGACTCAGGTGCTGAAGAACAACAACAAGCAGCGGCGCCCTATATATAGATTTGAGGGGTCTCCCGATGTCAGACTTCATGCCAAGCTCAATTTGTGACCCCAAAGCTCACAGGTAAGGTCACGAGTAACGTACCTGAGGCCGCGTACATGACGATCCCTCTAGTATCATATGGAACGAGACTTAGATTGGATCCGTCTGCGTGCTGGGCTAACTTGTGGGAGAAAGCATCTGGTAAGTATGTCTAGCATGAAGGTTGATGCCCCGTCGATCACTTAGTTCCTGGACAGCTCAGGCTTATCCCCTCAATGTGGTTCATGTTTTTGCCGTTCCAAACAAGTAGAGTTGAGTAAGGGTGGACCCGCGGGTCGCTGGAGCCACACCGCACCCGCTACGGTACGGGTGTACACCGACCCGCCAATTCTACGGGTATGAACGGTGTTTGTGGTATACCGCGGTTTTTTCACAGACCCGCGGGTCGCATAGTATTTTTGAGTCCTGGAGACGGCGAATACCTCTGATTCTCATCTACATTTTTGTGCTGCGCAGGGGAAGAAGTGGCAAACATGACCATTCACATTCTGAATAGCAGCATGATCGGTATCAAAAATCCATAGACAGGTGAACGCTAATTCTTGAGTCTTCTGTATTGAATTGGTAAGGCACTGATATATTATAGTAGTATCAGCAGAAGGCTTACGAAGTTCCGCATCCAGGTCCTCTTCGTTGTCGGACTCCGTCGCCGTGTCAATGGCATTGACATCGATCACCGATGGCTCGGGCAATGATGACGGTGATATCGAAGCCTATCGAAGACGATTTTGACGAGTATGATTGGATAGAAGACTCGTCAGTCTTCTTCAAGCAGCGCATAATCCACTGGAACATCAGCATAACCAGTGCAGTCGATCGTCACTCTGAATCGACATTGCTACATGATGAACCTGCGGTCGAAGCTTCGACAGTATGGGTGGATGTAGATTTGATGTTCTTGGAACGAGTGACACGGTGACAGCTCTGACTCGGGAGGTCCTTAAAATTTTGACCCTCGCACCTCGGACAAGCTGAGGGCTCTACATCCGTCCAACACCGCAAACTGCCACGGGTAGGCATGGTGTAGGGGCGGGTGTCCATAATCTACACCGTACCCGTACCCGCCGTACCCGTCAGCAATACACCGCGGTTTTACCCGTACCCGTGCTCTACCCTACAAACAAGTTCTGGCATTTCATGCACTCGTCGACTCTTAATCAATCTTTACGCAACGTGTGAAGCTCTTATAGGGGTTGCATGGATTTCATTACGTTCTCGCGGAACATCATGAACACATGTCAACAGTCCTCAGTGATCTGACCTTGAATCACTCATGATCCGGATGCTTAGCTGAACTTTGTATGTTAGAGAATTATTTTTTCTCTTTCTCCGCTGCCAATATTGGTGGTACACGTTCTGTTGATGTCCTCATCTCGTCAACCCTGATTACATTTCATATTTTGCCAATTCATGCTCATATATTTAACATCAATGAATTCTATATGAAATTTCCGATCAAGAACAATCAAGGCCCGATCCCGTTAATGAACGCTGACGATTCCATGGTCCGCTTACGCACCTTCGTGTACATTGTATGTTCGGAGTGCGTTTTCCCCGGTACTGTTTTTGGCCCCCGTCACCAAACACAGTAAAATTTCTGCGACACATCAGCTGGGAAATCCTCTAGCGAGGTCCCCCATCTGTTAAACTCCCAGCGCAACAGCCATACCGCTGAGGGCAGGATATGTAAAGCGAGATCAATCCTTGCGTGTTAATCATGTTTAGTACAGAGCCTCACCACGGGCCAATCTTTTTCCCCGCAGGGACCTGCTACCTGTCCTCTATCACCGGCCAGGACGAACTCCGAGTGCCGAATTTGCTAGCCGCCATTCGCGTTATTATCTCATTGACTGTTTGTTTTCTTTTGACAAAAAATTCCGCATATTATTCTCTTAACCACAGTGCACAATATTCAGAACTAACCGGACCTCAGTCCGATCTGCTACATCCTGGATGAAAGTCAGTATACTGGACTTCCTCGTAAAAATGGGAGAATGTAATCGTCGTGTAAAGTCTGAGATCTTTAACATTTGTTGGACTTGCATGCATGGTTAGTGCCACTGAGTTATGTGCACGGCTGCGAAGAAGTGTGGAATTTGAACTTTGCCGCCCTTAAGTGATCGCCCTAACATTGTAATTAAGTATCGTCAAGTGATTCATATGCATCTGGACTATCAGCATCACAAGTCGGATCTTTAGGTTAGTGGCATCACTGGGATAAAAGTTCTATACCCCTGTTATCAGACTCTGGGTAAAAGGACTGTGCGATCATTATCTGGCATGTGCACCAAGGTACGTCAGAGCTTTGCCTGCGACTCCGAGTCAGTTTAAATGTTGTCCCCGGCTCTTCATTTGATAACGTGTGCATTCCAAGGTATTCTGTACAGTCCGAATGAAAGTTACAATGCTTGTTGGTGTTACAGATATGATGCAAACTCATCATCAATCCCAGCATAAACACATTTGTACTATGGGAAGCGAGTTGTTTGGGTATTGCTGTCAATGATCATTTACTGGGAGTACATGCTTGGAGTCTTCACTCTTCCTCAGAGTCACTGGAATCTGTATCTTCCTGTTCAAGGAGTTGTTAAATACTGAGATTGACTAGTAAGACATGATACTCGCGTTGATGTACACCGGCACCTCTTGACCATCCTCATCGAGAGGCGCCCACGGGAGAGGAGGGGAAACCCATCTAATACCCTGCTCAGCTAACCAACATGTCAGCCTAATGGTTGCACTCACAATTGTTCGCCTGTGCGTTCAGGGGATGGTGTCGCCCGCCTATTGCGGCGATGCCTGACATGCCGCAGTTCATACAAAGGAGTGAAACAATGCTCCGTCTTGCATCCGTTGCGTGCCAATCCAGCTTGTGAGTCACTCCACCATTTCATCTCAGCCATCGCACCGGCAGTGCCAACGGGCGCTACAACTGGGGCGGAAGCTAGAAGAGCAATGCTGATATTTTCTCCGCCTGTATCTAAATGAGTATATTAGTTTCAGACGGCATGACGCACTGACTTTTATCTGAGAGATACATGGAGAAGGCAGGACAATAAAAGACCTTGGTAACAAGATGCATTGACTGAAGGAGCTCAATGTTCGAGAGCTTTCCAAGGACGTCTGAAGTAATGTTTTTTATGCGAGGTTTATTCATGAGCAAGACAGCGCCAGTAGTTCCTTTTTTGACCTGCCACGTTCCTTTGATACTAGCTTCGGCAATCCCAGGCACACCTCTGGTGGATTCAAGCCGATATCAGGACAGATGATTTGGTGACTCACGCGTGCGATTCGACCTTCAATTCGATTCTTTTGACGTTTTTCGACCAAGTAGTGAATTCAGACTCTTCCGGACAGTCTTTGGGATAATGCTCGTCAGACTTGGGGTCGATACCTGCACGGAGGAGAAGCGGCTGGAATTCGTTGGAGTAGATGGAACCTTTGGGGAAAAAATTGCCCGTATCTTTGTCGATTAATCCGTATGACCCAACCTGCTCGATATCAGCATACAACTAAAGACGATGTGAGCCACTGATTAGACGCACTGGAATCTCTGAGGGTGGGTCCCAGTTGGGATACTTCCCGGTTCGATCGAAGATAAGCTCGATGAACTTGCGTTGCGCATTCGACTCATGGGTGAGCCAGGTCCACATCTTTGGTGAGTATATGGTTTGCCAGTGAGTGACGATCTCGAGGTTTTAAAGGATGTAAAGGCCAGGGCAGTGTGCTGCTGTGTGCTGCTGTGACAGGCGCCAAAAACTCCGATGGTATACCGCGACGTGAGAGCATTCTGAAAAAAGGACACAATGTTATTCTAGTCGTCACGACGTGGATCCGTTCAAACAAACACAGAGATACGGTTCATGATCATCGATCAGTTATGAACGCCTGGGTTGCTCGAATCTGTTATTACAATGGGCAGTGGTTACATGCCTTGGTTGAAAGTTTGGGTCTTTCATCCCGGCGCCTGCTGCGGACCGCAGTGTAGCGGCCATGCTTACTATCAGCCACAGGTCCACAAGCATCTGCGCAGAGCAGTTTAAAACTCCGACAGAATAACAAGGCCCTCTTCAAGAGTCTTCAAGCTCTCTAAAGTTATGGTACTAGTCCCTGACTCCCACATGTTAGTGGACTTTGCCAATTCCTTATGTCTCATTTTTCACTACCGCTTCCACTTTAACTACTTATCCCTCCTGTATAGTTCTTGTGTAATGCAACCTCAATCAAGCTAGGCAACCACTCCTCGCTTGATTTCTTGCCTATTCACGTCAATCTTCTCGATTTTGTGAGATAAATCCAGCCAAGCTAGTTATCGGCTTTCAAGTTACTGGTGCTTTCCATTGTCTGACGAGAGGCTCTTATCTAGTTAATGTGATTTCTCAATCCTCGACTCACCGACTAATCAATATCACTAGGAAGCGATCTAGACTTTACACAACACTGATTCATCGTTGTTGACTGTATATTTCCTCGTCATCTTACGATCCATATTCAAGTGGTCATGCAGGAGCCCTGGCGTCCTCGTAGCTATTCTGACCCATCTCTCAGCAACCTTGCCATCAGCCTTCGAGACAGATTCCAGCAGTGGGGCGTCCTGTTTGACATGGATGGCTCCATCGAGCTACCGCACTCTGATCAATCCGTGCTTCTCGACAATATTTCCATCAACTTTAGTCAAATTTCTTATCCTGCCGTATATTCCGTCTACTTACTAGTGGTCTTTCGTTCCCACTTCGCCGTGACTTCTCGTACGCATCACCCAGCAGCTCATGCTTGTTGCTTTTTCCATGATCGTAAGTTCCAAGATGAACATGAATAATGGCGTGGGGTATACATGAGCCTTGTCACATTGACAATAAGTGATTGCACAAAACGTTGTTCCGTGCACACTTTGTTATCCGTGTTGACAATTATGGACTTCCCCCTTATATGCACGCTGTCGTTCAGTCGTGGTCTGCGCTCGGAGAGCCTACATGTAAGAGCTCGGGTATGTTACGCATTAAAACTCGACCCTGCCCTCGCTCGTTGACAACTAGAACATGGTCGTCGGTGATCAGATTTTTGCCCGAACTGCCTTGTGCTTTCCCCTTCTTGGCTCATTGTACAAATTAGATAGATACTGCTGACCCATATGATTTTCTTTCTTGTTGCAAAAACTACGTAGGGTATAGAGTGGCATCGAAAGCGTATCGTACAGGCAATACGAAAGTCATAATGTTACAACATGATACAAGCTCATCGTGTATCTCGCCACAGGCGCTGCCAATGTTCGCTACTGTGGATGTAGCCTTATTCCGGCTCAGAGTCGCTGGAATCCGTATTATCCTGTAGAAGAACTCGTCAACTATGGAAGTTGGCCAGTTAGATGTGATACCCACGTTGATATATACCGGCACCTCTGTGCCGTCCTCACGGAGAGGCGCCCACGGGACGGGAGGGGCTATCCATCTTGCACGCTCCTCGATTAGCCAATATCCATCATAGTAGTAATGAGTACACTCACAACATTTCACCTGTGCGTACTGGGGATGGCGACGATCGCCTGTTACGAGGGTGCCTGACATGCAAAAGTTCATATAAAGGGGTGAAGCAATGCTCTGTCTTGCATCCGTTGCGTGTTAATCCAGATTGCGTGTCACTCCACCATCTCGTAGTAGCCATGGCATTAACGGTGTCCACAGGCGCCACAAGAGGCGCGGAACCTAGAAGAGCTATGGAGAAACTTTCACCGCCTTACCCTGGATGAGTATATTTGTTTTTGATAGGATAGCAGACTCACTTGTATCTGAGAGGTACATGGAGAAGGCAGGGCAATAGAAGGCTTTGGTAACGAGATGCATGGATTGAAGGAGCTGAATACGAGCGAGCTTCCCCAGGGCGTCCGAAGTAATGCGTTTTATGCGAGGGTTACTCATGAGCAAGACAGCGCCAGTGGTGCCTTTCTTAACTTGCCATGTCCCTTTGATTGCAGCTGTGGCAATTTCAGGAACACCCCTGGTAGAACCAATGGAATGCGATATTAGGAGATGATCGAAAAGGACTGAAAGCTAAGGACCCGCCGACTCACGCTTGAGAATCGACATTCGATTCGATTCGTTTCACGTTTTTGGACCAAGTCGTGAATTCAGATTCCTCTGGACATTCTTCGGGAAGATGCTCGCCAGACTCAAAGTTGATACCTGCATCGATAAGATAATGTTTGAAGTCATCTGAGTATATGGAGCCTTGGGTAATCAGATTGCCCGTGGCTTTGTCAATCCTTCCGTACGATCCAACCTGCTCAACATGAACATCCAATGAAGGGCGATGTGGGCCACTGTTAACACGCACTGGGATCTCCGAGGGCGGGTCCCAGTTGGGATACTTTCCAGTTCGATCGAATATAAGTTCGATAAACTTGCATTGCGCATGCGAATTCGGCTGGGTGTCCCAGGACCACATAATGTGTATGATGGATAATTGATGGGTAATAGGTATATCAAACAAACACCAAACTCTTGAGGTTATACGGGGCAACTAGAAAGTGGCAGTGTTGGTGCTGTGTAACAGGCCAGCGTCAAAACTCGCATCTTCCCGTGAGATCCAAGGCTTGCCGAGGTTCTATCATGAGCTTGACCAATCCATCAAAAGCAATCAGTTTCTTTGTTACAATAAGCGATGACATGCCTTGGTAGAGTTTAACATTGAGTGTCTCAATGGGCAGTGCGGCTGTGGCAGCGCCTTCAGGCTGCTGCGCTATCATAGGACAAGGGATTGAGGATATGCCAGTGCACGCCCTACTCGTTACACATTTCCGCGGGACTGCGCGTTTGGAAGCCCGGCCAAAATATTGGAACTCTGGTCATTGCCTCATTAGAGCTTCGAGCCTCCATGGGTCGCCCCGTCAATCCTGTATGTGTTTGCTTGTGTAATCGAGTGGCAGTCCCTGCCCAATCAAACAACGTTTATCGTTCGACGTCGAGCGCCTCGAAGCTGGTGTTTTGATTATGAGTCCAACTAATTACTTGGGCCCATTCTTTGAGCCACTTCATAATCGATGACTATTGCCCTCCGACTGTTGTTTCCCAACTTCATCGTCGCCGTCTTTTGCTTGCAACGTTCTGTATCCTCTGGAATCTGATCAAGATCTAAGATTTGGCTAATTTGCGGGGGTTCGTCATTTTGAGATTGAAGTAGCTTTCCCGAGTCGCGACATCAGCTCCGTGTCCGATGCGAATTGATCATATTCATGTACAATTGACAATAACGAACATAGCACACTGTCTGCTTACTTATCTCGAAAGGAATGATCAGCCAGGGAACATTACAAAGGTGTATGAAACCGACTGTATCGAGTGCTTTTTAAGGACTACGCACCAGGCGAAGAGAGGAGGCAGCCACGCCCAGGACAAGACCTCTACCGTGGTCAAGCATTGAACCCACCACACTCCGGAAGCACAACATGCGTTCAGAATTGCTATGAAGTGTCACTAGTAATTTACATCTCAGCGCGAGGATGTAACTGCTCACCTAACATTGGAAAAATGATAGAGACGGTGAGGGATATACCCGGCCAGCTGATAGATACAGGTGTACAACACAATCGAAAGCGCGACGCTGTCAAGACCTGCAATTGTGTGAATGTCGATATGTACAAGGCCAGTTTCGCCACCAACATCTTTAACCCATGTTCGATCACAGGCGTCATATATATTAACTACTGCTAAACCGCACATCAAACAATCGAGCGCATGCGCGAATGACAAGAAGGCGAAAATATAGGAACCACGCAATATGTACCGAAGAAATGATGTCATGGGTGGTTGTGTTGAAACAAAGACCACGGAAGTGGTGAGCATATGTAGTCTCAGCGTTAGATTTCTTCATGTTTTGACTGCAAAGACCACTATCAAGCCAGCCTGCAACGCCACCCACCACATCAGTACGCGGCAATGTCACATCGATATCACCCACCACTATGTTAGTGTTACACAGCTTGTTAATGATTTTCTTCTGTTGTTTCTCCCATTTGTCATCATCTGTGAAAGACAGCCAGTATTGGTCAATAGAGGGTCTCGCTACCGAGATCAAGCAGAGTGCACGAAATAGAAAGGCCTTTTTAGGGAACTCTTTAGAGTCTGGGGCCTTCCACCAGTCTGGTAGCGGTGGCCTACAACCAAAAAGCTACTCAATCGACAACCCGAGAATGATCGTCAAGGCACTTATTGCGTGATAAATAGCTTCGTCCTCCATTTTAACAGGTGAGCTAGATGCGACCTGATATGGCTTGCCGTAAGCTATACAGGTAGGCAAAAGCATACAGTGCTGGCAGTGAGTGAAGCTCGGAGGAATTGTTTTGTAGTACGCACGAGAGTACTTGGTATAAGTATAGGTTGCCCACATGAACCACACCGCTGGGCGGCATCCTGTCAATTGACTTCTGCCTTTACGTTCATGCGGCATGCCATTCCTGGCACTGAAGCGAACACTCCGAGTCGGGGATGAATAAATGGCATGCTCCCGCATGATTATCCCTCTAAAAACGAGCGCTCGCAGAGAGTAGGTTGAATATGGCACATTAATAATGAATATGTTCAAATCAAGCGATAGAAAGTCCGAGTCGATAATATCCGAAGATAGCGACTCCTTCAAGTTAGGCTTCATTATGAAAGTCGTATAAATAAGTTGAAGTTGAGCTGCATAAGGACGCACCTGATAACGATTTGAAATACTGTGGTTGTCGTTCGGTGCCAAATTTTGCAACTTTACGTGAAGGTTTGAATGATGGAGTCATGGACAGTAGACTACGGTTGTTCAATGTGAGGACGAATGAATATCAGTAAGGATTCTATGGCCATTCTTGGTGTTCCTCGGGGCCCAGTGAGGTCGAGCCGGAGCATAATTTGGCTCAGAGGGCTCAATACAGTGAAATTTGAAACTGCACGGCCTCACGATAACCTTGAATTTGGTTTGAGCCTCGTATTAAGTACTCGGGACTATGGGACCTGACGGCTGGAGGAACAACCGTGATCAGAATTAAATTCATGCCGGCAACCGCCGACTTCAGCTCTGCTTCGGCAAGTAAGTTCCGCGATGATCATCGTGATACTAGTAGTAGGTGGTTCAACTAATTTTCACCGGACATGACATACTCACTAGCAGGAGCTCCGTGTCGATCATGATTCATCGTGTCACCGCTGAGGACTCATATACAACTACCCATTACAACGTTCATCCCCGAATTTCTTATATTGAAGAAAATTTCATTGACGTACTAGTTGATCCGGGGATCACCTAACCATTGTACCAACCCAGGCTTTTTTATTCAATGGCGCCTTTAAGCTCAAGGTTAGTACATGTAATACGTTTCTATGACGAGCCCGATAAGTAGTACTGCTGCGCATCCTCATTGTGGCAGGGTAGAACTGTACTACAGTCCAGTGGCATCACTGCGATCTACGTCCAACTGTCCCAGAAGCGTTGGATAGGTTGCACACATGGCAACTGCACCTTCTGTCCCCAATCTTGCCATCTTCCGCCGTTATGCATCCAAACCCAATCCAACGACTCTACCACCATCGATCCTACTCTCTCACTCGGAAACATGTCTGACGGTCTTCGATGCGTTCCCTAAATCCATCTTTCACTTCTTGGTCATACCGCGAATCCAGCCGCCATTGAGCGCACGCCATCTCGCAGACTTGCGTTCTTTGCTTCGATGCGAGAAAAGCACCGCAAAGGAGGTGCTTATGAACCTGAACGAGGAAGCGAATAACGTGAAGAAAATGATTGAGGAAGAGATGATGAAGCTGTATAAATTCAAGTGGGAAATTTGGATGGGGTTTCACCCGATTTCGAGCATGGAGTAAGCATTTGTCTATCCTATCTTATGGATTCATTGAGTTCATCCCATCATTATGGCATCGTTTCAGACACCTCCATTTGCATGTGCTTTCTGCAGACTTGTACTCTCCGAAGATGAAGTTGAAGAAGCACTACAATTCGTTTCATCCTAACCTGGGATTCTTTCTGCATTTGAAGGATGTCCTTTCGTGGTTCGACGCTGTGCCTTCATATTATCAGAGAGTACGTTGCGCGCGGCAAAGGATGCCTTGTTTCGCACTAATGACGGAATTTCGGGGTTTGTTTGGTAGATGATTAAGCTCGACGCCAACCATTATAGGTCGCTCTTAAAGGACGGCGACCTTTGTTGCTGGCAGTGCGACCGTGCCCTGGTGAGCATGCCCAAGTTGAAGGCGCATTTACACGACGAGTTCGATAAGCTGACGGCGAGGGAGAAGGCGAAGTTGGAGAGGAAAAGGAAACGTACCGATATACCCGCTTCATCCGTGCAGCCATCGGCGACTGATGATGAGCGACCCGAGAAGGTTGCTCGTTTAACGCCTAGCTGGGATGATGGTTCCAGCGATCCAACTGTAGGTGATGACCTACCGTCGTAAACAGGTCATCGGTGTTGTCTTTCTTGCAGCTACATCCTTATGACATTTTTAGTTCCATGGTGCATTCGTTGAAGCTAAGTGAAGATGGTCAACCGACTATACCATTGCAAAACATGCGTTGGACGCCAGTAATTCAAGTTGATCATCATCAAAAGGCCTCACCATATGAATCTCGGCGAGGGACCGGAGCTCAGAGCACTACTTGGAGACATCAACTCGAAGTCTTGTATCAAGTGCAATATGGACAAGATTGTGGGCACTCGGCAGGCCTAATGCGTCACAGTTGTAGCTACTGATGGGCTGAGTACGAACTCAGATGGAGGGAAACACAAGCCAGCCTCGACGGCAGGAGGCGCCTACTTGATGCACCGACTAAGGAGTGCGCGAATTCTCTGCCAAGTTTGGAGGTTAGAGAAAGCGGGAGGAGAAAATTTACATGGAACGTTACGCATCCGAATCATTGACAACATGGAACCTATGATTGTATTGCTCCAACGACGATGGATCGTTTCATCGAGGCCAACTCATCGCCTATGCTAATGTGGCAGGCCAGGTGAAGCCACTGATTTCGGTGCATCAAGTACCGTTTTACGGACTGTTACATGACTGTCCACGAGCAATGTGAACAACAGGACTGGCGCTACACGCTAAACGATAAATTGATCGTCGTTTACCTTTATACAACTTTACCAGACGGTCCGAAACTTTGCATCAGCAGAACTACAATCGCAAATGGGCAAATGTCAAACTCTCAAGCAAGCGAAAGTCAATACAGTCTCGAGGTACGTATTCTGCGTTAATGAATATTCCGAGCGCCTTATCGTGACGCAAGACACATCAAATCCGCCTCGATTGGTGAGCTATATATTATCAAAAAGGCAATGGATAGAATGTCGACTGAACAATTAAAGGCAAGAAGGCACATATCTAAGAGTTTTACAGTGTATTCAACTCTAGTGTCATAGAAACGACCCGATTGCTACGCATGCCTCTTCCGGTACCAAAAGACATTTCCACCAGGACCTTCATTCCGAAGTCGTTTGAATGAACGACGCCGCCATATCAATATTAGGGCCCATCGAAGGCTCGTATTTTCTTACACGATTATATCAGCGCAAGCATTCTACAAAAATGTTTGAGGGGAAGTTGCTCGCTCGCTAGCAGCATACCTGCTTTACGAGACCGTATCGGACAGAAAGCTGAGTGGTCACATGGAGACGTGGACATAACTTGAGTGCTTCATTCGTAGAGTGAATTTTGTGTCATACAGCGTACATTTTCGACAATCAGCATAGTGACTTTCATTCTGGATGATGTAGATCACATTGCGGTCATTGAGGGGGACGGGAATCCGTGACCTCTCGGTGAGAGTTTGCATGCAAACAAAGAAGTACCATTAAGAATTGAGTATCGGATACAAGTAAATTGGGACATGGAAAGAAAGGGAGAGCGAGAGGCTGGGGATCATAACTAATCAGTAAACGAGCGTCATGTAAGTATCAGGTGAGTCCTAAATACGACAACAAACAACATCAGCAAAACCCTGATTTGGGTACAGCGCCACAGCCACACAGCGTGTCACAGGTCACATAGATTTTGTTGTAAAGGCTCTGCAGCACCACACAAGTATTGATTCTATGTAAAAATAAGTGTGATGTAGTCATAAACATGTATATAACAAGATGGTGTGCTAATAATTATGTTTTATTGAGAAATTGTGTAGTGTGCAGCACTGTACAGCGCTGTACATGGGGGGACCTCGCTGTGACACTGTGATTGCTGTGCAGCGTTGTGCAGTGCAGCACATAGGGTTAGGGTTTTGCTGATGAAACATCCAAATTTTGACCAAGTTGTCTGTCTTCTCCTAAAGACGAGAAATCTGCTTTCAATGTCAATGATGAAAGCATTCAGCAAGAGGAGCATGAAATTGCTCCGTGAGATCTACACATTAATATCATTCTCTCGTTCAAGTTCTCCCGTCAACTTGACGCCGACAGGACCGGCGTACATCCATCGGTTGCCAATGGAACTTCTATAACAAGTCTTTTTGCTCATTGTTAACGACATGCCATGGCCAGACTGTCCCAGTATCTTATCGTCAGAACATAACATTGTTTCGCTCGATGTTGCCAACCCTCCCCTAGTCTACACCAGAGTGTGCCGCCTTTGGCGAGTTGTTGCACATTCAACGCCGCGAGTCTGGTCGCACATCCAGATTGTGCTCCGTGTGAAAATCAAACCATGGAAACCATTTTTTCCATATTTCCTCCAGTGTTGGCTTGCTCGCTCTGGCAGGCTTCCCCTCACCCTTTACATTGTTGACGGATTCCAACACCGCATACATGGTTGGGTTCAACCAGGGGCAAATTCTCGAGTTCTTGATGTCCTCCTTTCTGAGAGCCAGCGTTTGGAAACGGTGTTGATGTCACCCGTGTATAGCTGGGATCCTGACTTCGACACTCCTCAGTTGAGAACCTTGGTGTGCAATAACAGAAGTCTCAGGAGAATCAATGCACCAAAGCTTTCGCGCCTACACTTCTATGGTTACTTTTATCTCAACGTCCCAGACGGACAGCCCACCCTTACTTGCAGAAATCTACGTCTGGAGGCCGCTTCCACGCATGCTATATGCTCTGCTATAGCCAGTTTCCCTCACCTGGAGACCATCCTGGTTGATGAAGCTGTAGGCTTTTATTATAGGGACGTTCCTACCCCTATAAGTAGTTCGGTGCTGAAATCGATGATCCTCCCTCTCGCCTACGTACTGAAGGACACCCAGCAAGGACATATCCACTTGTTCACTCGACTTCATCTTCCCATGTTACAGAAATTGACTCTGGTGGGAGCGCCGGAAAAAGTACAAGTTGATTGTCTTTTGGCAATGCTGGCAGTTGCATCCTTCCAGGTACCGGTGGTAGACTTTCAGACGAGCACACCGCTGAGCACAGTTCATATGAACAATATTGCGCCGTTGCTCTCAATTGTGAGAGAAGTTACTCATGATGGGTAAGTGCTCTGCCATCTCGTCCCATGCACTCAATCATACAAACCCTGTCTGGTCCAGACACTTGCTTCAGAACAATTGAGTATCGGAGTTCGCGAGAACTGGGGAAACTGAAGCTACCCTTCTCAATACAGGTATACATACATACAGGTATCCGATTTTTTTGTGCTGCAGTCATTTACAAATCATATCTTGTCTTGGTGTCTTCATGCGGAGTCGGGAGTGGCGCAGCCGATGTCACTATTATTGTGGTCATGATACAGCAACCGCCGACAAAGCCTTAACAGTGGTGACTATGAATTTGGTGGTCAGAGTGAAATCGTGGTTCTAGATCATTGCATCGACTTGCACGATGTGACAGGGGACGTGTTGGTGCAGAGTAGTGGCGATGATATAATGATGAAAGGGCTAGGGAGGAGTCGACAAGATGAGAGTAGCGCTGGAGGTATCAGAGGGAAAGGCTGGAGGTATGACAGAGACGCTGGAGGCCCGCGAGGGAATGCGGGAGCACGAACTATTATCGGATGGCGGGGGGTGGGTTCCCAAGAGCTGATCCGATCGATTGGGCGAAGTCGGTTCCGTTTTTGCCACTGCGCTCGCTGGGAAGTTGGGTATTGCATCCGTCGAGAAGTACTGGGGAGATGAAGTAAGAAGGAAGTCAGTCAACTAATGCTTGGATGAGACCGACGAAACAAGGAAGCTGCCAGATAAAGAAGTATTCTGAACATGATATGCGAGTAATCAAACGACGCACATGCAAGAAGCCTGCCAGTGGCCATAGAACGGGTCCATTGTCAATGGGTTGATTGAGACTTGGCTGGCACATATATGTAAGTTGCATGGTGTAGACGAGGAATGCACGTGCACAGCGGCCATAACGGTGCCGACACTTGCTCGTTTGAGGTCTTGGGCAGTCACGTTGAAGTTCAATATTCCCAAAAAACAATCTGATGCTTCTTGCCAACAGTACAAACCTCAGCACATTCCAAGTGCATGGACAAGTCACTACTTCACGAATCATGCTCAAGATCCTATAATCCCTCCCTGTACCGAGCCATCATATCTCTCAATGATACCTCATCCCCAAACCGTGGTTGAAAATGCGCAGCGAATGGTTTGGGGTGCGCAATCACACCGTCCACGAAGCCCATATCATCAATCGGGTTCTCTGGGTCCTGGGTGATCTTGAACGACCACAGGAGGAGCGCGATGTTGATAAAGACCGAACGATCCGCTATGTGCCGCCCGGGGCAGATTCTGCAGGTGGTTCTTCAACAGGGTTCTACTGGGTTCTATATCAGGGAAGGCCGTACCTGCGTCCAAAGCCATATGAAGGGAACTTGATGTCGTCCCGAATTTTGCCTTCGCTGTTGAGCCACCTCTCGGGATCGAACTGGTCGGGGTCGGGGTACACACTCGGGTCGCGTGAGATTGCCCTGTTGAAGAGAGATCAGCACATTCATTTGACTAGAATGCATATTTCTGTACCAATGGTTGCCAAATACGATAGCGCCCTCTGGGATACACATGCCTTTCTGCTCGAACAGCAATAAGAATCAGAAAATCATGCTAGAGCGCTGGAAACGTACATAAACGATATCGGCCGAAGCACAATGAGCAAATCCAAGAGCTGCTACAGGCCTCCAGCGAAGACACTCCAACATGAACGCCTCTATCTGCGGAAGGGAGCTGTAGTCATCGAACGTGGGAGCTGTAACGACCGGGTTGAGATTCGTTCACTAAGATGAGCTTTGACATACCTCTGTCACGACCAACGACGATGTCCAGCTGCTCTTGCACTTTCTCCTGCGCCTTGGGATAACATGCTGAAGCCATAACGACATACATAATCGCCACAGCCGTCGTGTCTGAACCAGCGCCAAAGAGCGATCCAGCAAGATAGGCCATTTCTTCTTGCGAAAGCTTGTGCGAGGACTGGTTCTCAAGGAGGTACCTAGCAAATGAAGGACCAGCTTTTCCGGTCGCCTACGAAGAACTGATCAGAAGGTATTTAAGAAAGACACTAAATGAACCAACCAATTCTCTGGAAACGCGATTGAGTTGGTCATGGAAGACCTGACTCTCTTCTCTTCTCCATTCCTCCAACTCGGTTGTGTATCCCGGGACGTGTTTTAGGATTGGAAAGCGCTCTATCAGGAACGCCCCAGGTCGCATGAGCATCTGGAAGCGCTTGAGCATTTTGTGGACGACGATGATCTCGGGAGCATTCGTGGCGGTAGGCGTGGACTTCCCATACATGACACGCAAGATGACCGAGGCGGCATAGCTTGCGTTGGATGCGTTAAGTGGTTGTAGAACAAGTCATGGAATGTCACACACCGATTCGCAGCGGCTTGATGTCCTTTAGGGTTATCAAGGATGTCGAGGATGACATCACGAGCGGCGTCCATCTGAATGGGCGCATAGGATTCTGCAGCCTTCGCTTGAAGATGAGTGTGTGCTGCCCTGAATGAAACAATTTCAACCAAACAGTTCGGTAAGAGAAGATTTCAACACAACTTGCGAAGTCTCCGGAACTGCTCTCCTGCAGGTGCAAGGATCATGCGTAGCCCACGAGACAAGATCTCTCCTGCTGCAACTGCACGAGGGCGGTCCGCTAGCAGACCACCCTCTTTTTCCATTATGTCATTTGATTCCTGCGCAAGCGAGTATAAAAGTGTGCGGTAACCAGTATTTGAACCATCTTACCTGATATCTGCCAATAATGACCATGACCTTACCAGGCCCGACCCGAAGCGAGATGATGGGCCCGTAGGTATTGATCCATTCAGCAAACTGCTGAGATTGGCTGTAACGCGTTACTGTCAGCGTCTGCGTAGACCCAGAGCGTCCTCTATTTATGTTCTCACTTGACTTTTGGTAGAGGGTTTCGGAACAGCCAATGTCCAGGAGGACCTGGGGGAAGAGGCAGGCGTGGCCTTAATCGTATTTTAGCGCGGAGGACATTGGCTGCCAGAACGAGAGCGACCAATACTGCTAGAGCCTTGAGCCCGAATGACAAGTAGATCATTGTCTAATAGTCTATAAATGCAAATACAGTAACTTCAAGGGAAGCGGTGGAGGGATAAAGGATGATAAACGCGCGGCGCAGCAACTCCAGTTTTATCTTGAGCAAGCTGACAGAAGATGTGTTAAACTAGCCAATGCCTGTGGGAGAACCCTATTGGGAGATAGCTAGTGGTTCGCTGACGGTCAGTGCGGCTTTGGAAGGAGGATCTACATAAGTGCTGGCATCGCGCTGAGCCCCACGATTACTTGATCAGGTGTTTCTGTCTTTCGAAAGCCAAGACGAGCTCATAACGACCTCGATAGAAGAAGTTGTTCCTTCTTATCAAGAGTCATGTCTGAGATACAGGCTCGAGCTTAGCACGAACTGAAGCCTTATATTGTAGGACATACTTTGAATCCATAGATTTTGCGGACGTATGCGAATCGTGGTTCGGACGCACTACTTGATCTATTCGAGTAATGAGTGAGCGAATCCACCTAAGATCGCGAAGAACGCACCTGCAACTACCAAACCAGCCCAACTCCTTCCTGACCAAGTCCGATCGTGTGTCCTAGCTATCACCGCCGGCCATAGCATTGTTATCTGCAAAATCACGATTAGAGGGAGTCTAACACATTGATAGGTATGATTCACACGCTTGATGTTCGAAAAGTCCTGATGTCGATCGTTGAACACGCAGTAAAATGGGTTTGCCAAGTTTGTCAAGGTCACCCGCCAACGAGAAAGTGAAGAAGACCACCACCGAAATAGGACGAGCACGTCGGCGGGACCGGGCGGGCTAAACACTGGCTATATTTCATTACAATGTTCTCCACGGAAAATGTGAATTCCTGGATCATGATAAAATCATACTTCCCGTGTTGAACTAGTCATTCCCAGGTCCCCGACGCTTTCAAGTCGACTTGCAAATTTGCAGGCACAAAGCTCGCTAACTTCGATCTGTCGGGATGCTGTAGTAAATTTATAGCTGTCGACTGCAGTGGACACGTGGAACCTGTTGTAATCGACAAGCGCTCAGCATATCATATCCTCTCACAGGTTTCTACTACTTCATTGCTCGAATTTCTACATATGTGCGTGTGCATTGCAATTCCAACTTGTCTACTTCGATTTTGTGCTGATGAAAGGCGGATAACATGATAGTGTCGTCTTTGCTCACTTGCGCTGAGCGCCCTTTGGCTTCATCCTCCCTATGTTCCTAACAGTACTCGTGTAACTTGAGTGTGGTACCATAGCATGGCGGACGATGTAGAACAATATCGAGCGGCTTTGAAGAGATGTCCCCCCGGTCATTCTGATCGACCGCGGTCTCTCAACAATCTTGCCGCCAGCCTTCAAGAAAGATTCATGCAGCGGGGCGTCCCGTCTGACCTGGATGAGTGCATCGAGCTCAATCGGGCTGCACTACTCCTTCGTCCCCTTGGCCATCCTGATCGATCGTTGTCTCTCAACAATCTTGCCGTCAGCCTGCGAGAAAGATTCACGGATCGGGGCGTCCCGTCTGACCTGGATGAGTCGATCGAACTCAGTGGGAATGCACTACTCCTTCGTCCCCTCGGTCATCATGATCGACCGTTTTCTCTCTACAACCTTGCCGTCAGCCTTCGAGAAAGATTCATGCAGCGGGGTGTCTTGTCTGACCTTAATGAGTGCATCGAGCTCAATCGGGCTGCACTATTTCTTTTCCCCTCTGGTCATCCTCCTCGATCGCATTCTCTTAACAATCTCGCCGTCAGCCTTGGAGACAGATTCAGGCAGCGGGGCGTCCCGTCCGACCTTGATGAGTCCATCGAGTTCCATCGGGCTGCTCTACTCCTTCATCCCCTCGGTCATTCTGATCGATCGTTGTCTCTTAGCAATCTTGCCGTCAGCCTTCAAGAAAGATTCACACAGCGTGGCGTCCCGTCTGACCTGGATGAGTCCATCGAGCTCCATCGGGCTGCACTACTCATGTGTCCCTCCAGCCATTCTGATCGATCCCAGTTTCTCAACAGTCTTGCCGTCAGCCTTCGAGAAAGATTCACGCAGCAGGGCGCCCCATCTGACCTCGACGAGTGTATCGAGCTCAACCGAGCTGCACTTCTTCTTCTCCCCCCCGGTCATCTTTCAACAGTCTCGCTGTCAGCCTTCAATACAGATTCACGCAGCGAGGTGTCCCATCTGACATAGATGAGTGCATCGAGCTCAATCGGGCTGCACTACTCCTTTCCCCCTCTGGTCATTCTGATCGACCACTGTCTCTCAGCAATCTCGCTCTCAGCCTTGGACACAGATTCACGCAGCGGGGTGTCCTATCTGATCTTCATGAGTGCATCGAGCTCAATCGGGCTGCACTACTCCTTTTCCCCTCTTGTCATCCTCTTCGATCACAGTCTCTCAACAGTCTTGCCATCAGCCTTTGAGATAGATTCACGCAGCAGGGAATCCCGTCTGACCTGGATGAGTCCATCGAGCTCCATCGGGCTGCTCTACTCCTTCGTCCTCTCGGTCATTCTGATCGACCACTGTCTCTCAGCAATCTCGCCATCAGCCTTCGAGACAGGTTCACGCAGCGGGGTATCCTGTCTGACCTTGATGAATGCATCGAGCTCAATCGGGCTGCACTACTCTTTTTCACCCCCGGTCACTCTGTTCGATCAACGTGTCTCAACAATCTCGCTCTCAGCCTTCAAGACAGATTCACGGAGCGGGGCATCCCGTCTGACCTTGATGAGTGCATCGAGCTCAATCGGGCTGCACTGTCCCTTTCCCCCCTCGGTCATTCTGATCGACCGACGTGTCTTAACAATCTCGCCTTCAGCCTTGGAGACAGATTCAGGCAGCGGGGCGTCCCATCTGACCTTGATGAGTCCATCGAGCTCAATCGGACTGCACTACTCCTTCTCCCCTCCGGTCATTCTGATCGATCGATGTGTCTCAGCAATCTCGCCCTCAGCCTTCGAGACAGATTCATGGAGCGGGGCGTCCCGTCTGACTTTGATGAAGCATTTAGCCTGTTCTTGCAACTCCCCCACATATCCCATGCAGTCTCTCGTCGCGATCTGACTGTTGCTAAGTCATGGATCACCTTCGCCGAGGACGCAAACCATGATTGTGCATTGATTGCATACCAAACTGCATTGAAATTCCTAGATCAGCATGTCACCCTTTTGTCACCTTCGTCGCGTCATTTTGATGTCGTGAGGATGGCCTCGGCTTCGCTTGCTGTGGACGCTTTCTCATGCAGCATTCGTCATGGCGCGCTGACAACTGCTGTGGAACTGGTGGAGCAAGGCCGTGCAGTGTTCTGGACCCAGTTGGCACGCCTGAGCTCACCATTCGATGAACTTTCCCTGCCTGGTGATACTGGCGGAGCCTTGGCGACAGAGTTCAAGCAGTTGAGCTTTCGCCTTCGTAGCACATTTGATAAGTCTACTGAAGACCAGTCCCCACAAATCCGACAACTGACCATGCAATGGAACGATGTTCTCTCGCGCATCCGCATGCTCCCCGACTTGTCTCGGTTTCTCCTGCCTCCCCTGTTCTCCGACCTACAGAAGGCCGCTGAAGAAGGTCCTGTCATCATCGTCAATGCTAGTCAGCACAGCTGCGATACCTTGATCGTTCTCCGTGACCAAAATCCTGTCCACATTCCAATTGATATCTCGCGGACCAAAGTCTCCGAGTTGTCCTTCGATTTTCAGTCCGTCGCAGAGCAATTTGGTTCTTCCAATCATCAAAACACGCTTGTAGGCATCCTCCGCAAGCTTTGGCATGATATCGTCGACCCCGTAGTCCAAGCCCTTAAGAAGTCGGATGTTCAGCCTGGCTCGCGTATCTGGTGGTGTCCCACCGCTGAATTCACTTTACTTCCTCTACATGGAGCAGGACCCTACGAGAAGGGGAGAGACAACTTGTCACAGATTTACATCTCCTCTTATACCCCCACGTTGGCGGCGCTCGTTCGTGCGAGACAGCGCTTTTCTCAATATACATCTACTCAATATTTTGTTGCAATTGGTCAAGGAAACCCGGACAGTGGGAATGAATTGCGATGTGTCGCTCCCGAGTTAGCCGACATAGCTAAGCGTCTCGTACCCATCGTTTCGTCCTTTACGTCGCTCGAGGACAGCGACGCGACAGTGCAGGGTGTTCTCGACACACTTAATCATAACCAGTGGCTTCACCTAGCCTGCCATGGAATGCCGAATCGACAACAACCATTTGAATCCTCCTTTGCAATGCGTGATGGGCCGTTGATGGACATCATCCGATCCAACTGGGAGAATCCGGAGTTTGCATTCTTATCGGCTTGCCACACTACCGTGGGCGATGAGAAGAGTCCCGACGAGTCGATCCATCTCGCCGCGGCGATGCAATTTTCTGGATTTCGTAGTGTCATAGGTTCTATGTAAGAGACGTCACACGTCTAAAGAGACAAGGACTTCGTAAGTCCCCAGTCGAGTATGAACAGACTTATATAGTATGTACCTAAAGAGACAAGGACTTCGTAAGTCCTGTACTACGTCAGTAAGGAATGTGAGTATCATATAGTGAGACTTACCCCAGTCGAGTATGAACAGACTGGGGAAGAAGGGGAAAACGAGACGAGCGAATGTACCTGGAGCGGAGTTACCGTATTTAGTAAGTACGTTGAAGGTAGTGAACGCGACACCAAACAAAAAGAAATATCTATACTACTATGTTGACGGATTGATTTCCAACACTATGTGGTCCGTCGACGACGAAGTTGCACGGCAGGTTGTGTCTGCTTTCTACGACAAGCTGGTTGATGATTCGGGGAGATTGGACTGCACGCGGGCTGCGATGGCGTTGCACAAGGCTGTGAAGAGATTGCGGCGCAAAAAATATTCCACTGGAACAGCGGATCGTATTTGTTCATATAGGTATCTAGTTTGAGGCTCGCTCGCTATTTTCTGTGGTCCTGACCCCTTTCATTTCCCGCTGTCCCAACAATATCTCAGTTACTTAAATCATGTCTGCACGATACTTTTGTTATACATCAATCATGGCCTGCTCCTATATATTGCTTTCTGCAAATGCGTCATGATCATGAACGTTCGAACAATGAAGCACAAGGCATGATATACTCCGCCTTTACCGTTATCAGGTTGGTATATTCATCCCCGCGAACTTGGGTATGACTCTTCTTTGATGCGTCCCTCTGTTACTGAGTCTTCGTGTCGCATAGAATGCAGAGGTCATCGAACATCCTTTCTGCATGAGTAGAAGGGAACGGGCCACAAACTCGCAGCCCATCAACAAGGTCATAAATACAACAAGCGTGTCGCATAAAGATAGAGAGAAAAAAACATGTCGAAAATGTGTGATTACGACAGAATGATCTTGAAAGGATCCGATCCACCCCAGCTAACATTGCCCGACACGCAGCGTCAAGCCTCCGACCATTGAGATGCAAGAAATCATCATATAGCTTGTACCTCGAATCCGTGACGATGTCGGCAAGCTCCAATGCGCGCTTCACATTCCTGTCCAAGATGCACTAGAACTGCAGGCACTGCATGCGAAGATATGCTTACTTTAGGACATGCTCTCGAGAGGCGTGGAGCATGACATGCAGTCGCGGTATATGCTCTGTGACGTATATCTGCCAAACGGGCTTGGGCATTGGGCACTTAACTTTAAATTCCCCTAATAATTGCCAGGTCGGCGAAACTGGCGCGGCACAATGGCGCAGTATTGCCAACAACACTAAGGAGGCATAAGAAAGACACTGGAGGCTCGAGAATGGTCAAGGAACGCGCTATTATTAGATGGCGGGGGAATCAACGAAGTCGGTTCCGTTTTAGTTACTGCGCTCGGGAGGTCGGGTGTTACACGTCGAGAAGTACTGTGAAGGAAAACCAAAAAGGAAGTCAAAGAACTAACGCTTGGGTGAGACTGAACAAACATGCGAGTAACAAAATGACGCACATGCAAGAAGGCTGCTAGTGACCATAGAACGGGTCCACTGGTAAACGTCTAGACACTGGGGGTTAATCGAGACTTGGCTGGCGCATTTGTAAATTGCACAAAGACGAAATGTAAATGAGGAATGCACGCAGTCCATACACACTAATTTGAGGTCTTGGGTGGTCGTCCAATATTCCAAAAACAACCTGATGCTTCTTGCTAATAGTACAAATCCTAAGCGCGCATGTACAAGCCATTATTTCGTGTTCAAGATCCTACATCCCCTCCCTGTAATGAGCCATCGCGCCTCTCAGAGATGCCTCATTCCCAAATCGCGGCTGAAAACGCGCAGTGAACGGTTTGGGGTGCGCAACCACGCGGTCCACGAAGCCCATGTCATCAATTGGGTTCTCTGGGTCCTGAGTGATCTTGAACGACCACAGAAGGAGCGCGATGTTGATAAAGACCGAACGATCCGCTATGTGCCGCCCGGGGCAGATTCTGCAGGTTGTTTTTCAACAAGGTTCTACTCGGTCCAATATCAGGCAAGGCCGTACCTGCGTCCAAAGCCATATGAAGGGAACTTGATGTCGTCCCGAATTTTGCCTTCGCTGTTGAGCCACCTCTCAGGATCGAACATGTCAGGGTTGGGGTAAACAATCGGATCACGTGAGATTGCCCTGTTGAAGGGTGAGCAGCATATTCTTTGACCAGAATGCATATCAATCTGTACCAATGATTGCCAAAAACGATAGCGCCCTTTGGGATACACATGCCTTTCTGCTCGAGCAGCCATAAGAATCGGAAAATCATGCCAAGGAATTGGAAACGTACATAAACGATATCGGTCGATGCGCAGTGAGCAAATCCAAGGGCTACCACAGGCCTCCAGCGAAGACACTCCAGCATAAATGCCTCTATCTGCGGGAGCGAATTGTAGTCATCGAACGTGGGAGCTGTAACGATCGGGTTGAAATTCGTTCACTAAGATGAGCTTTGACATACCTCTGTTACGACCAACGACGATGTCCAGCTGCTCTTGCACTTTCTCCTGCGCCTTGGGATAACATGCTGAAGCCATCACGACATACATGATTGCCACAGCCGTCGTGTCTGAACCAGCGCCAAAGAGCGATCCAGCAAGATAGGCCATTTCTTCTTGCGAAAGCTTGTGCGAGGACTGGTTCTCAAGGAGGTACCGAGCAAATGAAGGACCAGCTTTGCCGGTCGCCTACGAACTGGTCAGAAGGTGTTTAAGAAAGACATTGACTGAACCAGCCAATTCTCTTGAAACGCGATTGAGTTGGTCATGGTAGACCTGACTCTCTTCTCTTCTCCATTCCTCCAACTCGGTTGTGTATCCTGGGACGTATTTTAGGATTGGGAAGCGCTCTATCAGGAATGCCCCAGGTCGCATGAGCATCTGGAAGCGCTTGAGCGTTTTGTGGATGACGATGATCTCGGGAGCATTTGCGGCGGTAGGCGTGGACTTCCCATACATGACACGCAGGATGACCGCGGCGGCGTAGCTTGCGTTGAATGCGTCAAGTGGTTGTAGGATAAGTCATGAAGTACCACACACCGATTCGCAGCTGCTTGATGTCCTTTAGGGTTATCAAGGATGTCGAGGATGACATCACGAGCGGCGTCCATCTGAATGGGCGCATAGGATTCTGCAGCCTTCGCTTGAAGATGAGTGTATGCTGCCCTAATGAAACAACTTCAATCAAACAGTTCGGCAAGAGAGGATATCAACACAACTTGCGAAGTCTCCGGAACTGCTCCCCTGCGGGTGCAAGGACCATGAGTAGCCCACGAGACAAGATCTCTCCTGCTGCAACCGCACGAGGGCGGTCCGCTAACTGACCACCTTCCTTCTCCATTATGTCATTCGATTCCTGCGCAAGCGAGTATGAAAGTGTGCAATAACCAGTATTTGAACCATCTTACCTGATATCTGCCAATGATGACCATGACCTTACCAGGCCCGACCCGAAGCGAGATTATAGGCCCGTAGGTATTGATCCATTCAGCAAACTGTTGAGACTGGCTGTAATGCGTTTACTGTCAGCGTCCACGTAGATCCAGAGCGTCCTCTATTTATGTTCTCACTTGACTTTTGGTAGAGGGTTTCGGAATAGCCAATGTCCAGGAGGACATGGGGGAAGAGGCAGGCGTGGCCTTAATCGTATTTTAGCGCGGAGGACATTGGCTGCCAGAACGAGAGCGACCGATGCTGCTAGAGCCTTGAACCCGAATGACAAGTAGAGCATCGTCTAATAGTCTATCAGCACAAATATGATAACTTCAAGGGAAATAGCGGGGGAATGAAGGACGGTGAACGCGTTCCGTTTTATATGATAGAAGACAGTTTAAATTGTTGGCATCCAACATCGACATTCCATTTCTCTTTTCTACGTCATCACGAACTCTATAGTGTAGCACTACATATACTCGTTGTTTCTCGTTATTTGTACCTCAGCTGGTCTTTCACCAATGCTGAGGTATAGTCTATGTTCCCTTTTGCACGCCGTCTCTCACTTACATTATTTCGTCTTCCTAGTCCTTTAAGAGGTTATGAGCCCTGGCTCCTATTAGCCAGACAAAACTACTTGGATGAACTTCACTCATGTTAGCCCACTGCTCACATCTTTCACTTTATTGTATTAATCCCTCATAGTGGTATTGCAATGGGGAAATATGATCATATCCCTGAACTTTTGGGTTCAGAAAACTATGTCGGTTGGTCCACCAAGATGCAATATGCTCTTGTGTGTGAAGACCTTTGGTGTCATATCAACTTGACCTCTGATCCCTCCAACCTACTTGGGACTCCATCATTAATGCCCGTTCCCATCAATCCGGCCAATGTCACATCCACCAAAAAGGCAAAGATGCATGAATGGCTACTGGACAACATGAAGGCTAAAGATCTCATCACTTGTCATCTCAATGCTTCTGTTGGGGCCCTCATCTCTTGTTCGCATACAGTCTTGGCATGTAAGGCTTGGAAAACTCTCACAGAGCATTTCAATCACACAGATACCAGTGCACAGTATCAGCTCCATCAACGTCTTGATGCGCTTCACATGAAGGACTCAGCAGATGTGACAAATTATGTTGGTCAACATGCTGTACTTCGCAAGCGTTTACACAATTCTGGTGCTCCTCTATGTGACAGTGACACCATTTACAGCCTGCTCATTGGACTCCCACAAACGCCTATCTGGCAACAATTCAAGTCTATGCTCGAACAGCAGATGCATGATGAAATCATGGTTGCCATGTCCAGCACACCTTCCAATTTCACAGTTGAAAGCTGTGTTGCTCGCATCACTGCTGAAGCCGCACGTCATGTTCATGCCCAAGCCATCCACTCAGCTCGTCCAGGATCTGAATACACGAATGCCACTGCCACTGCTCCTCCATCCGGCATCAACTCTATCACAGGGTTGCGCAAGCACAAGTTCAACCCTGATGGTGTGTTTTGTACCACCCCCAGATGCAATAAGGGGGATCACAACCATGCCCACTGTTATAGCAAGGGAGGTGGTATGGTGGGACAGGCACCTTGGATGCAGAATAAGAAGCCGGAGGAGAAACCTAAGGAGAAGGAAACAGCTAATGTGGCTGCTGCTGCAGTCACTAAGGCACCTACACCTCCTGTGGCGACTGCACCTGTTATCGCTGCGGTGGCAGCTGATTTAAACAGTTTGATGGATGATCTCTCTTTCGCTTCCATAACTGAAGTCCACGACAAAGTCATGTGTAGCATCAACTTGCCCTTCACTACCATTCTGTTACAATCTTGTCCACCCCTATCTCATTTTCCTCTCTATCTGTGTATTACGTCCTGACCGCGCCTCATTGCGCCATCAGTAGACCAGTCTCTTACCATATCTGTATTACATCACGATCGCCGCTGCTGTCGCTAGGTGACTCATCCTTATCTCTGACTTGTCTTGATGACGTATATCCTTATCTCTGACTCATCTCGATGATGCATACGTACCTGCCCTAAAGTAGGCTACGTCTATATAAGCTCAGCTCTGTACTTAGGAGATCTTCACTTTAATCTACTAGGTTTTCACCTGAACTATCCTTTGCTTAGGACCCCCAATCCTAAGTCATCCGATAACTGATATTCAAGTCAGAGACACTCTCTCTGACTTGTCTTAAGAAGCCTTACATTCGTGAGGTCTCGATCCAACCACAGACATCACTCTTATCGAGTATCTGTCGTTGCGCCTATCCTAGTTCGCCGTAACAAAAGATTAAAGTCATTCACCGACCCTCTCCATCATCAGAGAGGATATAGACCCCAGAAAGAATTCAGAGAGAGAACTAAAAACATTCCCCTGAATCAGAAACATCACTTGACCAGATGTTCAGGATGTCCACCGTCCCCAACACCCCAGAATTGAAAGCCGGAGCTCTGTCCACTTATGATGGAAGCCCTCAGCAGGCCCTACGATGGTTGTATGCAATTAAGGCATACTTTGCGCTTAACGCTACGACCTACAACACCAACGACAAAAAGGTTATCACCGCTCTCGCATATATGACAGAAGATAGTGCTATGGGTTGGGCACTCACTTTCTACACTGAAGTTGACAACTCTGCTTCCAAATCCTATGGAACCTTCGCGAACTTTGAAACCAAGTTCAAAGAAGCCTTCGTACTGGCCGATGCTATCGGCACCGCCATGAATAAACTTAGAACGTTGAGACAGACGGGCGACCTAACCTCCTACATCACCAGCTTTAAGACTCTTGCTGCACAAGCCTGTGTCAAGCAGGACACCGTCTTAATCACGTTCTTCAATGATGGATTGAAGAAGGGAATCGTCAACTCCATCTTTCAGATGGAAACCATCCCCGTAGACTTTGATAAGTACGTTGCTGCAGTCATCAGACTTGACAGCAATTACCAGAGGGGTGCCGCATACCGATCAAATCATCGGACCGCCACTAAACCAATGGGACAATGCTATGTACCCAGACCATCCATTGACCGACACGATCCAAATGCCATGGAGGTAGACCGGCTTACCGACGCTGAAAGAAGTGACCATATGAAAAAGGGACTATGCTTCACGTGTCATCAGAAGGGACACCTGACTAGAGCATGCCCACAGAAGAAGAAGACTCCTATTCGCCGAGAAGAAATAAGCGATAGTGAAGATGAAGATACAACGATCCGTCGCATTGCTGAGGATTTTTGATATGGAAGACTGGATCGACGTCAGTATCTTCCAATGTACCTATAAGACTTGTACAGAGTATTGGAATCAGAAAGGAACTTCGCGTTCCCATTTCCCTTATCTCCAAAACTTGTCTAAAAACCATCAAAACAACAGCTGTTGTTGACTCCGGCGCCGCTGGAACCTTTATTTCCGAAGAGTTTGTCAAGACTCATGGAATTTGCACACACAAACTATCGAAACCATTCCGGGTTACTACTGCAGATGGAAGTTATGCGAGAGGAGGTGCTATCACCCGATATTGTGTCCTCATTGTCAAAATAGACAAACGATCTATGATTGGAAAGTTTAATATCACATGGCTTGGCCGACGTGATCAGATCTTACTAGGGATCCCTTGGCTACGCACTATGGACCTGGTAATCCGATGGAAAGCGGAAACGCTAGAGCTCTCCAAAATGGAGAAAAGTGATCAAATTGAAGAAGAAGTTGATAACGAACGAAAGAAGAATGGACTCCCTCCCCTTTTCCGAAAACCAGAAAAAACGGGTCAGGAGATAAACCTGATTCCAGTTGTAGCACTGCCAAAGGCGCCTCCTAAATTGGTTACGCCACCCAGAGAACCAATGCCCCGAGCCACCATCAAGGAAATTCCTGACGAAGAAGCCCTGTTAGCGATGCCTAATTTGGACCCCATCCCTGATGACAATGACGGCTCTTTCAACATGAAAGATGACATATGGACAATGGACCATGCACCACCTGTACGTGAAATCTCCACCTACCACCTAGAAGACAACGAATTCTTGGTTGAATATCCCATTGACACCTCCGAGCTCCGGGTATTCACCAATGTTTCATTGGATACTCCCCTAACCAAGGATGGTACCAGCGCTGCGGAATTATGATCTACGGTTACACCTCTGTCACGGCCTGCCGAATACATTAAGACCAGTAACAAAGCGCAGCAGTTTGTGCTAGCCACTGGGCTTGAACAGAAGAAGAAGTCATTTGAAGAACTTGTTCCCTCCTACCTTCATGATTTTGCCGACATCTTCGCAAAAGACGGCCTCAATCAGCTACCGCCTGAATGACCTGGTATAGACCACCGAATTGAGACTAAACCCAGTTTCATTCCAAAAACGTCCAAGGTGTATCCATTATCAGAAATAGAACGAACAGCGGTCAAAGCTTTCATCGATGAAAACGTAAAGAAGGGGTTTATCTCTGAATCAAAGTCGCCCCAGGCAAGCAGATTCTTCTTTGTAGGAAAGAAAAGCGGAGATCTTCGCCCCTGTCAAGACTACTGGTACATTAATGAATGGATGGTTAAGAATGCTTACCCACTTCCATTACTGCTTTCTCTGGTCACTCAGTTACATGGTGCCAAATACTTCACGAAGATGGACATTCATTCAGGGTATAACAATATCTGCATTCACCCAGAAGATCGATGGAAAGCCGCTTTTACCACTGAGTATGGTCTCTTTGAACCAAACATCATGTTCTTTGGCCTTTGTAACTCCCCTGCTACCTTCCAGGCATATATGAATAGAACGTTTCAACAGGAGATCAATGAAGGATGGCTTGTCATATACATGGACGACATTCTGATCTTCTCTAACAAACTCACTTCTCACCATGAATGAACTCAGCACGTCCTTGAAAGAATTCGACAGGAAAAACTCTTCCTCAAACCTGAGAAGTGTACGTTTGACGCTCAAGAAGTGGAGTATCTCGGAATGATAATCCACCCTGGACATGTGGCAATGGATGACGCCAAGACCAATGGTATTTGGGATTGGCCTACCCCTACTACTGTGAAAGAAGTTCGGTCATTCTTGGGGTTCTGCAATTTCTACCACAATTTCATTTCCCATTATTCCAATATCGCACAACCCCTGATTGACCTTACCAAGAAAGACGCCAAATTCCTT